CACGTCCGGGACTCGCTCTCGTTTGAAATAAATCATTGCACTCCACCTGGTCAGGTGCTTCTAAACTGGCCTCAGACATTTTAATTGTTATATAAATGCATGATAATATCCATGCAACTAAGACAACATGGCTTGTCGATCTCCACTTGGGTAATAACCCTAGCCCTGAACCTGGCTCCAAATTTCAATAAACAATAAACCAGGAATTGGCAGCGAACAAGGTAGGTGATCCTAGTTTTTTTTTTTTCAAGTACTCGATTTCAGGCCATGGTTTAAATAACAATTCATCATTTAGACCATGACAAATACGGTAAAGGGCAATTCATCATTTAGACGAGGGCTACTCAACTCCTATGAACAAAGGTCCAGTTAGACAAGTTCCAATATGTGCAGAGGTCCAGATAATAAACCACCAGTCTGAGTGTTCCTTAGTGTCCCCAGACCTAACTTACCCTACAGTCAGTCGAGGAAATACACTTTCAAGAATCGATCGGCAGGACCTTCATTTTATTTCATCATACTTTTCTCCTCCTGGAGTCTGGGGTCCCGCTACTACACACAGAAGATCCGGATTCCGCTGTTGAGTAGCCCAGATTTAGACCATGGCAAATAGGCTAAATTGCAATTTGTCATTTAGACCATGGCAAGTACGTTAATTGGTTTATCATTCAGACATGGCAATCACGTTTAATACCAATTCATCACTGAGACCATGGCAAATACATTAATCATAGCTTATCATTTAAACCATGACAAGTACTTTATCATTTAGTCAAACGTTCTCTGCCCCCTCCCCCTCCCCCAGACTGCCGAGCGGTTCGTCTGAACGGCGTCTGGGTTCCCTACGGCGAGGATCCGCTCTCCGTGTGGTGGTGGCCGGTCACGCCCTCGGAGAAGCTGTTTGTCTCGGGGCCGAAAATGAAGTCTGATGTCGTTGCCGAGGCGCCTCATCGCTGGTACGAACTCCTCATGGACAGAGAGAGTGAGTTTTGTGGCAGCGGTTCTGTACGTGGTGTCAGTGGTTGAGGTTTATCGTTCGTGTGTGGTATTCATGTAGGTGTTGGAGGTTGTACATACATACAGTCTGTGTATCTATATATACCGTATGTACAGACACAGGCGAGCACACACACACACTGTCACACACACACACATACACACACACACACACACACACACACACACACACACACACACACGATGTAATATGCCGTTAAAATAAGGATTTTAATCTCGGAAAGATCTAATCTAAAGTCATTTAGAATATGAATATATCTGCATGCCTGTATTTATGCATAGATTTCTCTTCTGGTATATAATAAAGACCTCAACAGGGATAAAGTACTGCCTGACTGCCACTTCACTCTCGCTGGGGAGACGCTGCAGTGCTGAGACGGACTTCCTCTCTGTGTATGGCAACCGGCCTACCTTCTTTTCATTCGACTGCACTCAGTATCCGTGTGGTAAGAACTTTTCACAGCTGGAGATGATATGGTTGCATGCAGTCTATATATATTGATGGATATATATGTAGACAAGCATACGCGCAGATCCATACACGTGTGTAGACAAACAACCCGCAAATCCCCAAACATACACACACTTAGAAACGTTTAAGTTTTCTTACACTGTGTCCTAATGACCTGTCGTTCCAGCAACACCTTGTCCAAACAACTCAACGGACGATTGCAACGAAGCGTCATTGTCAACAGGTGATCTATTGTCTCCCTTTCTAAAAAAAAAAAAAAAGCATACTATACCATTTTTACGTTATTTTTTATACACTGAATTTACTTGTGGTACCATATTGCTGATTCACTGTGTGACAATACTCTATAAAGCTTTGAAGGTGTCCTGTTGTAAGCAAAACATAGGGTCGAGCAAGAAAACACGAGAAGGCCCTGTGGCTTCACCTGTTTCTCATACTGCAAAGAAGCAATAGAGTGAAAATATATCCCTCCATATTCGCCTGCCTGCTCTTCTCTTCATTATACGATCTGCAATGTTGTACACTGTATCTTTCAAAAACCCATACTGCATTGGCCTTCGTCAGAGTGCTCCATTCAACGCCTATATGGGGTGTATGTGCCCCTTGACAAAGCTGCCACCAGTGTGTTTTGGTGGCCTGGATCTGCCGATACACTGGGCGTAGAAGGACCGACTATTGACAAGTACCACGCTGTAGGGTCGGTGGAAAACCAGTGGCACCACATCATCATCACAGGCCATGAAGGTATTGGAGAGTTTATATTTTCGTTGATTACATTTGAGTCTTTTATGCAGTCGCAATAGTCTTATTATCAGGTCAAAATGATTTTATCTTCTACACAGCCAAAATGTCTTTTTTTTCAATACAGTCAGACTTCTTTAATTTTCTGTACAGACCAAGTGCCTTATTTTCTGCACAATCTGAAGGATTTTATTTTCTTCACAGTTGAAATATTTTTGCAAATCAAACAGATTTTATTTTCTGCATAATCAATGATTTAGTCTGCATAGTCGAAAAGAAAAAAAAATATCACTATTATTACTGTTATTATTATTATTATTATTATTATTATTATTATTATTATCATCATTATTATCACTATAATCTACGTACATACGCTCATCTGTCGCATCCCACTGATTGAGTCTTTAAAACCCCAGGGGCGTCGGCAGCTCTTCAGTGTGGCATCAACAGCGAAAGTCTCAACCTGTCTCTCTCCTGCGCTGAAGACCCGGGCGACGACTACGACCCGGGCGACGACTACGACGAACTCATCGCGAGCAGGATGTTCGTGGGAAGTTACCGAGAGCGCGGAATGGCGCCGTCCTATTGGGCCTTTGGATGTGACGTCACTCCTGCCTGTCAGTTCTTAGCTACGATACTTGGATGAGGCTCATATTTATTTATTTTTTGTTGATGTTAGGTTTACGATGCGAGATGTTGACAAAGAGTTTGTTACGAAGATAGTCTTTGGTGATGACGGTAGTTTACGATGTATTGTAGGCGATAGTTTGTGGTAAGTGGTTTTGGCGGTATATGATGTTTATGATATAATGGGTAGGCGATAGTGTATATTATAGGATATTGGCAGTCATTTAAGATACACTGCAGGCGACAATTTACGACAGACGAAAGTTAGTATAGTTTACGATAGATGAAGCTTTATATAGTTTACGATAGACGAATCTTGATATAATTAACGATAGACGGAGCTTGATATAGTTTACGATGGATAAAGCTTAACATAGTTTACGATAGACGAATCTTACTACAGTTTACGATAGACGAATCTTAATACAGTTTACGATAGACGAAGCTTAACATATTTTACGATACATTTTTCCTTCCGCCATAGAAATCAAGTTATGCTTCTGCTTCCAGGGTGCCCGGACAGTACAAAATGTATGACTCCAACCATACGAAAGAAAAGTAAGTTTTCCTTCACTCTTAAAAATTGAGTTGTTTGGAATTCATCAAAGATAGATAGCCTTGTGAACTAGACATGGAAAATTCAAAGGTTTCGTCAAATAGGTGACAGTTCTGAATAATTATTTACTACGATAACTGATGGTTAATTAGAAAGGAGTGATGTAAGTGGTAGAGTAGAGTTTCCATGTGCGTACACACTTCATACTCGTCTATATAAATATGTATGGGTTTATGTATGTGTGTGTATAAACTTGCATACACTACTATTTGTTTATGCCACCACTAAATCTTAAAATGCAGAAAATATAGACTATCAGTCCAACGCACACACACACACACACACACACACGCACACACACATACACACACACACACACACACGTACACACACGTACACACACACGTACACACGCACACACACACCTTTCTTTTTTTTTTTTTACGTATAATAATCTTTATACAATGATGCTCAGAATACAGAGTTAGAACATAAATGTAAACACACAATTTCTAACCTTATCAATGACTGATAAGATATTCCATTTATGCAATATTTTTTTAGTTTAGTCCTTTATTTACCACCCTGGCTAACAGGCGTGGGCAAGCTGTAGTACATTTAATGCATGGTCATAACATTACATAATGGTATTACATATGGATATTATCCTATATCATTGTTATGATAAGTACTTTGTCAGTTCAAGGAAGGGAAACAGTTGCACAGTCCTTTAGCTACTTATCTACCACACCGGCATATAGCTTGGGCGTGGAAAAGCATTTAAACATTTGATATACAGTCATGTGTTACTACATTCCAAATTTAGGATACAACATAATTATATCTTCTAAGACATCAGATGATATGAAGTAGTTACATAGTTCTCCGTACCTCATGCTAGGTGGTCTGAAAGGCTGTAACACATGGCACTCTGAGATATAATGTACAAGTGTTCGCTTATATTCTTCATTACACAGTTTACACTTAGTTTCTTCGACATTACAAGCTGTACTGACCTGCCAATACATTCTATATCCAAGCCTGATTCTTGCAGTCACAACATCACACTGTCTTGTTCTTGTTTTATATAAACCATAGATGAATGAATCTTGTCTAAACCGGTCATAGTGCTTTATGCTACAGCTTTCGGGGCGTTGAGAATTAATTAACTCAGTCAAGTCCTCTTTGAAGGAAGTTTTAATGGTGTATAAAATCCTAGAAAGAGGTAAGCCAAGATCTATATCCACACTTTGTTTGTCACATGCTGACTTTGCTAGGCGATCAGCATGATCATGCCTAGGGATTCCAACATGCGATGGGATCCACACAAAACGTATATTATGGCCTCGTTCTTTTGCGCGATACACGTTTATCCTGATGTCATTTACAATATTTCCTGCACATTTGTCTAGAGTGTTCAGAGCCTGGAGAGCACTCTGTGAATCACAGAAAATGACCCCTGAGCCTTGATTCAATAGAAATTCGGTGGCCATGAGTATTCCTGCCAACTCAGCTTGTGAAGTGCTAGCCCAGTCATGAACCCTCCTACAATCCTGGTGCTGCAAAATGCTGTTTTTATATACAACAAACGCGCATCCTGCTCTGCTCCCAGATTGCAAGGATCCGTCAGTGTAGCATTCATATGCATTGGGTAGAGTTTCTAGATCATCATCGTCATAAGGGGGCATACGCATGGCTGCGCTTTGCCGCGCCCAACCTTTGCCTCCATCTCCTGGGGTCCCTCCGAGCGAGCCTCCATGCAGCATTCCTTCCCACTCCCAGTACATCTTGGCAGATCTGATCGACTTGCTTCAGCCATGAGTTCCGTGGCCTTCCCCTTGGTCTTCTCCAGCCTGGGTCAACCCTCTCGGAGATGACCCTATGAGCCGGATCTTCCTCAGGGAAACGAGCCACATGTCCATAGAGCTGAAGTTGGCGCTCTTGTATCAGACTGGTAATAGGTCTTGAATCAGTCTCATGGAGTATCCGCTGATTGGACACATGGTCCCTCCAGGTATACCCCATGATTCTGCGAAGACACTTAGTACCGAAGGAGTTAAGACAGGCTTTCAGAGCACTGTTCAGTGTCCAGGTCTCACACTCGTAGAGCAAGACCGGGATCACCAGTGCTCTGAAGAGCCTGATCTTAGTTCTCCTAGTCAAATACCGACAGCGCCAAATACTCCTATTGAGTGAGTCCATAACGCCGTAGGCCAGTCCGAGTCGCCGAGTGACTTCCAGGTCGGAACCTCCGTCGCTCTGCACTACACTACCAAGATAAGTGAAGCTATCCAAGACCTCAATGTTCTCGCCACAGGCATGCACAGACTGAGCATCGACATCCAAAAAGTCCCCAAATTCCTGAACCTTGGTCTTGGTCCAGTTGACCGCGAGTCCCAATGGCTTTGCCTCCTCATGCAGCGCCTCGAGAGCTACTTCCAGGACCTCTAATGTCTCCACTAGAATCACTGCATCATCGGCAAAGTCAAGGACTGTGACCTTGAAATTACCAATTGATGCCCCACAGGAACTACGGTTCACGGTACGGCCAAGTATCCAGTCCATACAAGTGTTGAAAAGGGTTGGGGCCAGGACACATCCCTGTCTCACCCCGGCAGACACCGGGAAGAAGGCAGAGATGCCCTCCCCACACTTGACAGCACTCTCAGTATCTGTATACAGGCCAGACATCAAACCAATAATTCCAGGGGGATCCCACGGAGACGCAGTAGGCTCCAGAGGCTCTCCCGGTGCACTGAGTCGAAAGCCTTCTTGAGATCAACATAAGCTGCAAGCATACCCTGTTGAAACTCAAGTCGTCGTTCCACAAGGACACGAAGTGCTAAGACACGGTCTACAGTTGACTTCTTGGGTGTAAAACCAGACTGCTCAGGTCTCTGTGCTCGTAATAGGTGGTCGCGCACTCGTGCCAGAAGCAGATGAGCGAGGACCTTGCCTGGTACGCTGAGCAATGTAATACCTCTGTAGTTGCCACAGTCCTTTTGGTCCCCTTTCCCTTTCCAGATAGGGATGACCAAGCCCCTTTTCCAGTCAGGGGGAATGGTACCAGTCTCCCAAACGGCAGACAGGACTGCATGCAAACCACAGATCATGGCTTCTCCACCCGCCTTCAACAACTCTGCAGCAATCCCACAGACACCAGCAGCCTTTCCACTTTTCAGCTTAGACACTGCCCTTCTCACCTCTTCGATGGAAGGTGGTGCCTCACTGATTGGTGGATCAGCTACTAGTGGCTGTGTGCCAGCCAAAGGGAGTTGTGAAGACGGGGGATCTACCCTATACAGTTGCTCAAAGTACTCAGCCCAGCGGGCCCTATACTCACCAGGCTCTGACACAATGCGACCATCCTCTGCTCTCACTGAGCCCGATTGAGAGATGGACTTTGATCGGAGTTCCCTCAGGGCTCGGAAAGCAGGTCGAAGGTCATTTTGGGCAAAATGACCTTCCAACTCTTCCACAATGCCCCTAACGTACCTCTCTTGGTCCACTCTCAAAGAGGCCCTAGCAGAGCGAGACAGCTCCCTGTGCAAGACATGGTTCCCATCCAGTCTGGCAGCACGACTCATCTCTATAGTGTTCAGTGTCTCGTCTGAGACAACACACCTCCTTCGCCGAGGTCGGACACCAAGGCACTCCTCGGCAGCTGACAGAGTTCCTCGCTTAAAGGTATCCCACAGTTCAGCAGGGTCCTGTAGAGTACCAAGCACTTCAAACCGATTTGAGACTGCCATTGCATACTCCTGAACCACCTCCTCACTCTTGAGCCTCTCGAGATGGAACACCTGCTGGTGAGATCTTGGGATGCGTCTAGATCTGAGGCGGAGCCTTAGTGTTGCGACAACAAGTCTGTGATCGGTAGCAAAGAACTCAGCACTCCTAAAAACTCTACAGTTCTGAAGGATCCTCCAGCGAGTATCCACGAGAATATGGTCGATCTCTTTAGCTACAACGCCAGTATTGGAGTACCAAGTCCAGCGGTGTAGATCTCGTCTCTGGTACCACGAGCCCGCAATCCTCAGCCTCCTAGATCTTGCGAAGTCTAAGAGGTATGAGCTATTGATGTTCCTAGTACCAGTTTCTAGATGCCCACTTATAATTGCAAGTGCATACTGCGTAAGTATAGCAGGGGGGATACTGTCTTTTTTTGGGACAGTCGTATAATATACACTTAGGTCAGATATTTTCCACGGTGGTACAGAACATCCATGTAGGGTCTTAGTTATGGGTATGTCCAGCTGAGCTAAGTGTTTACATGTTACTTGTACCCATGGATTTGAAAATGAATTGGTGTTGTCATTCAAAGTTAGCTCTTCTATTCTGTGTTTTTGTTGTCTTTGAAAGTCTGTACAGTGGAGGGGTTCTCTAATTGATTTGACACTAAATGTGGTATTTATGTATATTCTTTCATAAAGAGAAGGCAAATTAAGTTCTGTTCTCATATTCACAATCCTTGTTGTTCTAGGGGCACCAAGAATGATCCTCATGGCTTCATTTTGTACACTTTCTAAACTAGTCAACTCTGATTCCTTGAGCAATACTAGGTGCAATGCATGGTAATCTATGACCGACCTTATGTATGACAAGTAAAAGAGTCTCGCAATATTGACATTAACTCCATAGTCTTTGCCGACAAGGGTCCTAAGTGGCTTCAGCCGCTCCCATAGCCTTTTCTTCAGGTTTCTGATGAATTCTGAATCATTAACAATCACCCCGAGGTATCTGTATTGGTGGCAAAGATCTAGCTCAACGCCACCAATATGAAACCTTGGCAGAGCAATTGTCTTTGGGTTAAGTGCCTTGTTTTTTTTCAGTTGAGATTATTAAGCCACACTCAGTAGCCCTTGAAGAAAATGTATCAAGAATCTCTTGCATTCTCTCCTCAGATGAGGATTTAATGCAGATGTCATCGGCATAGCAAATAATGGAGACATTGCCTGCAAGTGGTATATCGCCCAGTAATCTATGCATTAGGATATTAAATAGCATGGGACTAAGTACGCCTTCCTGAGGTGTGCCGAGTTCAAATACTTTTGCATGAGTGCTCTTAATGCTCCTGAAGAGAACCTGAACCGATCGATTTGATAGATACATTTGAATCCATGTTAACAGTTTTCCCTGAATACCAAAGCTAGCTAGTTGCTCAAGGATAATTTCCTTGTTTGCAATATCAAAGGCAGATTAAAGATCAAGGAATACGGTTTACATGCCTGGGTTTGAGTTTGTTAAGTACTCTGCAAAGCAATTCTGACTACTTCGCCCTGGGAGAAATCCAAACAGTCTGGGGGATAACTTAGAATTTATGCGATACATAAGCCTGTTCAGAATTATTCTCTCAAGTACTTTGCACAGACAGGAGGTCAGGGAAATGGGTCTGTATTTGTCACTATTGGGTTTGGGTATAGGAATGATTAAGCTTTTAGTCCAGGAGCTGGGGAGGATTCCTTGTGATAGGCTGAGTCTATACAGGTGAAAAAGAGGGTTGCCTGGCACCTGAGCAGTGTGGCGAAGGACGCTGTAAGTAATGCCGTCCTCGGCAGGAGCAGTTGCCTTAGCTTTCAGAAGGGCATTGCTCAGTTCCCACTCGGTTATTTCGACAAAGTCGGAGGGGTCAATAGCAGCACATGCTATTGCTATATCAAAATTTCTATCTATTTTCGACTTGTTGAGCTGATTTTTTATCCCTTGTGGAAGTGAGTGTAACTGAGAATTTCCAGCCCACTGCTCTAACAGCATGTTAGCCTGTTCTTGTGGACTGTGGAACTGCGGTGTTGTGGGAGCTTTACCTGTTAGCCTATTAATTTTTCTCCATACGTCAGCTACAGAAGTTTGACTATTGATACTTTGCAAGAATTATTCCCAGTGTTTACTACGAATCTGAATTTTTAATTCTATGAATTCCTTGTTGGCTTTCAAAAACTGCAGAAGATTGTCTGTCGTCTTATCATCTTTATAACAGTTAGCAAGCTCCTGAACCCGTTGATGTTCCTTGGCCAGAATTGAGTCATTGATCCACCATTGATCCGCCTGGGGCCTCTTTTTCTTTGAGAGTTTTCGTGAACAGACCCATGTGTTATAGTAGTCAGTGACAACTTTGATTAGATCCTGAGAAAAATTTTCAACTGTTGTTACTTCATAGGTGTTATACCAGTCATAGACCCATGCCTTGAAGTGATGCTCCAGGCCCGGTGGGATGATTATTCTGAGCCTGGGTGATTTAGGGGCTGAGTCGCTGTCTACAGTATAGTCTGTTCGGATTGCAAAGTGGTCACTAACTAACTCTCGCACCAGTGAAGTACAGATATTACCATGAACTAAATTCTTGCCAAATACATAGTCTAACCTGCCACCTCCCAAATGAGTCTCTGTTTCTGTGTCATATACTGTTAGTGATCTACTACTGATAAAATGTTTGAATTCTTCCCCATTACTGTCTCCAAAGTGTGGATGCCTTGCATTGAGGTCGCCCATACATAACGTGCTTTGGTTGCGAAAATTGGGGAGAGAACTAGCCAGAAATTTGGAGTATCTGGCATATACATTATACAGTGAAAAATACTCAGTGGCAGTCTGAATTTTTAAGTGATGAAATTGAACATCAGTGTTCTCGGATTTTTTAACTAATTTATATGGCAGTGTTACCTTCACATATGTCAACAATCCAGTCATGGCTGTATTCACATATGAATAATATCCCTGAATTGCAGGTGCTATCTTCATCTTAGCAGCAGCAGCGAAAGGTTCTTACACGCAAATAACACCAGTATTATATTTACGGATATAAAACTCTAGGTCATTCAGCCTAGGCTTTATACTACGCATGTTCCATGATATAAATTTAATTGTGCGTTTATCCATATGTGAATAGTGCTCTATTAGGCAAAATGTGCCTCATGCTGAAATATCCTTTAATATTACGAATTAAAGATTGACATAAGAAACATATAGCTTTATGATTGTGGATTTTATTAAAAGTATTTTTAACCATTTCAAACATTTGGTCTTAGCTTTGTTCCACTTCTCAGCACAGGCCCTTTGGTTGTTGTGCCAGATGCAACTGGGGGGGGGGGGGGGGTGCGTCACTGGACTCGATGTCACAGAGATCCTGGTATTGTTCGTGGCGGCTGTCAGCGCTGACACGCCCACTCTGGTTATCAGCACTGTCGGTTTGACATCGATTCTCCTCGTTCGTTTTTTTAGCACTAATGGTAACACTAGTATCACGGCAGTGACAGTCACTTTTATTTTTTTCCGAGGCGAACATAGTCCTTTATTGGTGCCAATGGTGTCCTATCAGCACTGCGGGGCTTTCATTTTTTCTTAGTTTTCGACTTCACTATTGTGAAGCCGTTACCTCCGTCATTGTTGCTCACTTCAGGATCACCTTCATTGTTGCTCACTTCAGGATCACCTTCAGCACCTTCATTGTTACTCACTTCAGGATCACCTTCAGCACGGACTGAAGCGGATATGTCTATATGACATATAGAAATATGTCATACATCATACAAAAATAATACGTTAATATGCTTTTGCCACTGTGCTTACATAACACTGTGTTTTTGTTTACGGCAGCTTTACATAGTAAATTTTGGATATAATACAAGTATATCTTCCAGTGTATCAGATGAAATGAAATATTCACATAGTTCTCTATATCTCATGTTAGGTGGTCTGAAAGGCTGTATCACATGACATTCCGATATATAATGCTCAAGCGTTCGCTTGTTTTCTTCGTTACACAGTCTACATTTAGATTCATCTGCACTTCTTGCACCGTGCAGTTACCAAAACATTCTGTAACCTAAACGTATTCTGGCAATAACCACGTCACATTGTCTGGTTCGACTTCGGTGCCACCCATAAGAGGGCTTGCTATCTCTATACTGATCGTAGTGCCTTATGGTACAGCTTTCAGGCCTTTGAGTGTTCGTCAGATCTACTAGTTCTTCCTTATGAGAACTTTTCAATATATGTGCAACCCTAGCAAGAGGCATCCCAAGATCTATGTTCACAGTGTCTTTGCTGCAGGCTTCCTTCGCCAATTTGTCTACGTTGTCGTGCTTGCTTATGCCAACATGAGATGGTAGCCATACAAATTGAATGTTGTAATTGCGCTCTATTGCACAAGTTACGTTACGCTTAATGCAACTTACAATATCCTCATCGCCACCTGCTTTGAAAAAAAATAGTGTCCGAAGAGCACTCTGAGAGTCCCACAAAACTACTCCAGAGCCCCGAGACATTAAGAATTCCGTTGCAAGGAGTATACCTGCCAACTCCGTTTGTGTGGTGTTAGCCCAATTGTGCACTCTCATATTAACTTGATGTTGTAGTAAGCCGTTTTTGTATACAGTACAAGCACAACCAGCTTTGTATCCAGACTGTATGGATCCGTCAACGTAACACTCGTAGTTATGCAATAAGATCTTCAAGTATGGCTGAAAATGTCTAGAGGGCACCGGAAGTCACTATTAAGTATATCCATCAGAGATCCAAGTTTTTCACACTAGAACTCTTACAGTTGAGTAACAAACGATAACAATTTGCTTTAATCCTCTTCGTGTGTAAATGCAGAATATGTATATATATATATATATATATATATATATATATATATATATATATATATATATATATATATACATATATACATACATACATACACACATATATACATGTATATATATACATATATATATATATATATATATATATATATATATATATATATATATATATCTTATCTATCTAAATCTATCTATATATATATATATCTTTCTTGATATATAATGCATGAATATTAGTGTGTGTGTGTGTGCATGTGTGTATGTATGTGTGTATGTGCGTGTGTGTATGTGTGTGTGTGTGAGAGAGAGAGAGAGAGAGAGAGAGAGAGAGAGAGAGAGAGAGAGAGAGAGAGAGAGAGAGAGAGAGAGAGAGAGAGAGAGAGAGAGAGCGAGCGAGAGAGAGAGAGAGAGCGAGAGAGAGAGAGAGAGAGAGAGAGAGAGAGAGAGAGAGAGAGAGAGAGAGAGCGAAAGCGAGAGCGAGAGCGAGAGCGAGAGA